ACGTTAACTGGTCCCGTGATAAGTTCGTAAAGAACTTGTGTTACAGGTACCAGATAACGGAAATAAATGTAAGATTTTTATTATTAACATACATATATTTAATATACATCCATAACTCTGGAAAAGACATTTTATGTTTATCATATAAATATCTTCCCTTGGCGGGATTTGAACCCGCGACCCTTGTGTAGTGACTATGTCACTTACCACTACACCATACGGCCGTTAAACTATACTTATAGTTAAAACTTTATACTAACTACATAGCTTACGATAGTCTCATTTAAGATCAGACGATCCTACGCTTATAATACTGTCCGGACTCTTTACAGGACAAATAGGGTTTACGGCTTCTGTCTCCTGTTCTGCTGTAACTAATGTAGTTACAGCAGAACAGGAGACAGAAGATAATCTCATCCATAGTAATTTAGTAATTAAGTCGGATCAAAACCGGTCCTTTATGTAAATTAATTAGAATTTAATAACAAAAAGATTTTTTTAAAGGGACGTTCAACAAGGCTTGTGGTTAAATAAATAATTAAACTACCCGGAGTAGCAATATTTCCTCAATAGCCCTCTTCTAATCCCATTGGTAAAGCGCGTGCTTATACTGGTAAGCTATTGTTCGTACCGACCACTACTGTTCCATCCAGTACCTATTTCATTCTGATACAAAGTATTCGTGCGAACTGATATATAAGCAGTTGCACCACACTATTGAGTATATCACCTAATCGAATGATAACAAGAAAGTTCTAAAAAAGAACTATTTCAAAATCTTTTTGTAGGTCTAGTTTTAACGTAAGAACGAATTGAATTGATACTCAGCAGTATACTAATTGAGATGCATCGTTTTAATTTAGATTTACAAGAGAAGCACGTCCCTAACCAAGTCTTTGACTGAATTCCACTTGACCATCTGGTTTTTTTATTGAAGGGACGATGCAAAAATTATAATAGGTACCCTTTGTAAAATTATTTTGTGCGAACAAGCACAGTACTTGTAATGAAATAAAATTGTAAAAAAAATACGAAAAGGCTTAAAACTAAACGGTAATGTAAAATATTTTGTCGAAAACCAATTTCGAGACAAATTATTTTCTCAAAAGAAAGAATCCGATCTCTTTGAACCTAAAAATTGGAAAGCGCAATCTTTAGAGCCTCGAGCCTATTACGTTACAAACGAATTTCTATCAAATATTTAGAATCGTAATTGTTGTACTTGAGTGTAAGCCGGCTTTAGAAGAAGCTCATGCGATTTGTCTTTCGAAAAACAACATTCGTTAGGTGTTAATTGAACTTCAAAGCGTCTGGCATATAAAATCTGGCCTAGTTTACCATTGCATTATTATATACTGTTATTATTATATATTAATATTACGTTTACTATTAAGGATGACATTTACTGGTGGTAGGACCTCTTGTGAGTCCGCGCGGGTAGGTACCACCACCCTGCCTATTTCTGCCTTGAAATAACCTCTTAACACCAGGTAGGGTGTGAGCTCGTCCACCAATCTAAGCAAAAAAATAATAATTTGAGAATAATTTATCCAAGACACCGTTTCCAAGAGATAAGTATTATAATTTTTTAAATTGAAATTCACTTGTCCTCCTTTTTGTTCGTCTACTTTACATGTCCTCAGTTTTCATTTCACGATACACTCGAGCTGTGACAACACACAAACAAAAAGCAGAGAAAAACAACATAACAAAATAATTACATGAATATACTAAAAGAACAGTGGATTGTGAAATTGTAAATTATCGTTTCTTTAAGCTGTCTCTGAGAACAGAACTGATATTTTTATACAAGGTACGTACTCATATTACCATTATTATGTAATAGAAACATGCCGAATATTTCGATTCGCCACATTATTAATAAATGTAAAATTTTCTTGTAAAATTTAAATCTTCTATTTTGTGGAAATCATGAAAACATTATTATTAATATATAAAACCATATGATTCTTAAGGAGAAAGAAACTTCTTAAGATAAGCGTAATGCATTATCAAAACCTTAACAAACACGTTGTCGTAATAGGTGTCGTAAAATGATATGCAATATTTTAAGAATTTCCCTTATATAAATACTTCCTTGAACGACTTTTCATAATGCCATTATATGGTAGACTGACTTGTATATGACACGCAGTGCATTCGTATCGATTGATATGAGTGCGTCGGTGTTCGAATCCCGCAGGCACGTAACAATTCTTCTAATACTTACATACTTAATATTTCACGTATGACTTCCGCGATGAAAACATGAAATCTATATATATATATATATATATAGATAAATGAATTGCTGTTCGTTAGTCTCGCTAAAACTCTAGAACGGCTGGACCGATTTGGCTAATTTTGGTCTTGAATTATTTGTGGAAGTCCAGAGATGGTTTAAAAGGTAGATATAATTAAGAAAATGCTCGGAATTAAATAAAAATAACAATTTTGTTTTCCTTTGATGCGTCTCCCGTCGGACGGATTCTTTTTGTTTGTTTTAAGTTTATTTTATACAAAAGTTTAGGTATTTTATTTATCGATTGAGGCACTACGAATTCTGCCGGGTCAGCTAGTTGTGTAATAAAAACCAAATCCGCAAAAGTTATAATCTGCATAATTACTCGTAGTAAGGTAGGTCTTATGGATCTTCTCAGTGGGTCGCGTTTCCGATCCGGTGGTAGATTCTGCGAAACACTGCTCTTGCTAGGGCCAGTGTTAGCACCACACCCGAGTTGAGCCCCGTGAGCTCACCTACACGTCAAGGAGAAGCTGAAATAGCCTCTCAAGGCTAGCATAGGTAGGTCTTATGACATAGGTAGGTACTATAAACACTGCTTATTCCTAATACGAAGTACCACTGCGTCGTGTTTTGAAGGTAGCCATTTACTATATAAAGAACTGAGACTTAGTACTCATGTATCAAAGTCAATGCGTTTACATTGTTGATTTCTATGGGCTCCGGTAACCAGTTAACACCAGGTTTAAGCAATAAAAAAACAATCAAGCTACTTTAGTTATAAGTGAATATTAGTGTATTAAGATCGCCATTTGAATGCCCTAACTAACCTTGAAACACGGACACACAAAGACAAATTACAATGTATTCAAAAAAATCGGTTGGTTACGAAGATTTACATAAGAGGTTTGCATTGTATAAATCTCTTCAAACGTGACTTATTTACAAGTACATTTCGAAATGTATCGTAAAATTTATTTTTATAGAGCTGCCTTCGGAAACAATTTGCATTTTTGAATCTAATATTTTTGGATTGCTTATTTATTTTTAGGTAGACGAATGAATGAGCTCCACGGCCTATCTCCTGTAAAGTGATTTTCGGACTCCCTAAATATCACAACGTCGATTCATCGACTTACTTTGAACTTTGAAATCCCAATTTTTTTATAGCTTAGATGTGTGAGCTTACAGCCCACCTCGTGTTAAGTGGTTACTGGAGCCCATGGACATCTACAACGTAAATGCGCCACCCACCTTGAAATATAAGTTCTAAGGTCTCAGGATAGTTACAACGGCTGCCTCATCCTTCAAACCGAAACGCATTACTGCTACACGGCAGAAATAGGCAGGGCGGTGGTACCTATCCGTGCGGACTCACAAGAGGCCCTGCCACCAGTAATTACGCAAATTATAATTTTGCGGGTTTTGATTTTTATTACACGATGTTATTCCTTCACCGTGAAAGTCAATCGTGAACATTTGTTTATGTATAATAATATATTGTTAATTATGTATAACCGTTGTCACAATGTAATCAATATCTCACAAAAATAATTGTTCTTCATTTACGACACACGTAAAATAATCATCTTTTACTAAAATATACTCCACCAGCAGATAATCTAGTCCAGTAGACTTTTAGAAATTTAAAACGTGACCGCAATAAATGTTCCCTTATAGACAATTAGAGAAGTCGTTGGAAGGTCGTGACCTCTTATTAACATACATATTGAGTCAGAAGAAACGAAAAGACCAGCTTGCGACTGATTTACGATCTTAAAGAACGAAGTCGATTTATAAAATTATCGTGAAAATAGGCTGAAATTCAAATTGTGTGGTTTATCACTATCAAGAAAGCAAAAATTGATTTAGTCGGCACAGAACCGGCGAGAGTAAATTGTTTTTTTTTAATTCAAACATTTTGTAAACAATGCAATTGTGTTGTAACTATAAATAAATTTACACACGTCTTGCATATTTTACGTTAAATTTCAATAACAAAACTATACAATGAATATTCATGAGAAGCTCGATTAAAAACAACAAGAAGAATATGTAATTATTCTAAGAAGACCCAACATTACTTTATTGCTTTAATTATAACTTATTTTTAAAGTTGTGTTTCAGGATAGAACATGTTTAGTATAAAATTAATAATATCTGATGAATCTGTTTTTGTTTGATCGATGTATGTACGGAGTAACATTAAATTTGTTTGGATAAAAAATGGCTTTGACAGTCGGATTGGTTTGACCATCAGTATCATTATTGTAAAAGTAGTAATGATTTTGTCTTTGTCTCGAAAAAACTCAACAAAATACTAAAATATAATATCTATTAGGGTGTGAAGTGACGATGTGCGAGTATTTATTTTTGGAGCGAAGTTCCTTGTGGGACGATACGGAGGGGTACCCTAGTCGGGTAAAAACGTCCGTAACGTAAGAATTTTATTAATAATGCACGCCATGCATATCTATAACATAAATGAGCCACCCACCTTGAAATATAAGTTCTAAGGTCTCAGTATAGTTACAACGGCTGCCCCCTCTTCAAACCGAAACGCATTACTGTTTCACAGCAGAAATTGGCAGGGTGGTAGCACGTACCCGTGCTGACTCACAAGAGGTCCTACCACCAGAGCATATAATATATATGTGCTCTGTTGCCTTTTGTACACTCGATGGGTCATATTCAACGTGTCATAATTTATTGTTTCTATTTATTATGTTATTGTAACGATTTTCAGATATAAGCTAAAATGGAGGTGCGATTGGAGGAAGCGCTTGATCTAGTCGGTAGCTAAATTTGAAATACTTAAACGTATAACCTAGAACAAGCTTGGAATTCGTTTGAATTAAATGGCAGATATTCAAATTCAGTTTTTATAGTCACGAGCGTCGAAGCGATACATACATGTTAAGCTGTAGTTTGACGTTTGATATTGAATATAAGAATTGATAATAATCCCATCTTTTATGTTTATATATAATTTACTAGCTGTACCCGTCCGCTTCGCTGGGCATTTAAAATTAACATTACTATTTCTCACCCCCACAAAGATTCTCATAATTGACGCCCCCGCAACTAATGTAGGGAGTCCAACACTCATATAAATATTAGCCTAACCATTAAGTACATGTATTTTCTACATGGATACCAAGTTTTAAGTCAATCGGATGCATGGTTCAGTAGTTATAACGGAACATCCGCAAAAACCACTGTAGATTTATATATTAGTATAGATTTAGATACAATATTTTTACATGAAAGTAGCTTGGTTTCTTTATTGAAATTTATCAAAAGTCATGATTAGCACTGTGATAAAAATAAAAACAAAAATTAATTCTCCTCTAGGTCATAGCCGACACAATGTGCTAATATTGATTGTGAGCAGTACAGTACATTTGGCAGCCGTCTTAGATCTACTTGGGTTTTGTGTGCTAGTACCAGCGGCTAGTTGCGATTTGAAACTTGACTTGATGGAGATTGGAATGTTAACTTCAGTTCCTTTTGCTGGTAAGTCTTATCATTTAATAACTGCTTGCTTTGATTCTATAGGCAATTTATTGATAATACCTATTGGAATGTAACAGAAAAGAATGATTATTTAAGGTATTGAAGATTTCAAATACTTCTATGAATTGAATAATGCGGTTTCATGCAAGCGTAACAAAAATTGCACCTGTTTTTTTTAACGCTTAGGTATTACGGATATTTACGGATACCTGGTCGAGGGGGGTAACGGACTGGGTTATGTGGGACTCCGACGCCTCTAGAGAGGAAGAGGGGGAGAAGAGAAGGACTGCGGTCCTCCATCTCCCCTAATTTCGCACAGCAGACCACGCCTTGAAAATGGTGCGGGAGGCATTTGCCCCGCAGAACTGACTACCGACTAAGCCCCATCGAGCTCCACCACACCGGCTACGCGAAACCTATGGTACCGCAGTGCGCGCCGAAAGTCCTGCCTTCGCCGGTACCCGTCTTGATGATAAGGATCTCATCCCAGGGAAAATCGTGGAGCGACGCACAGGAGCAATTTTGCACCGCTACGCCACAATAAAAAAAATGTCACCTAGAAGTAGCCAAATTAAAATTTTACTTTTATCTGTAAATACATTTATGTACATTTAATATCTGTTTCGAATGTTTCGTGGCATTTGTTTATGTGTGCAAATAGCATACTTGCTTTTTACACTTTAATCCACATTTTCACTTTTAGGTTACTTGTCAGCATTACCTTGGGGCTACTACGCAGATACCCAGGGCCGACGAAAAGCAATAATCGTATCTACAATAGTAGGATCAGCTTTAGCTATTGTTACCAGTTTCTCATCATCATTTGAAATGATGCTTATTTTAAAACTAATTGGATGCAGTTTGTGAGTTTTTTAGTATATTAAATAAAGTAATTACGAAAATTTTCCGCTTTCATTTAAATTTCTGATTATTGACTTTTTTTTGCTTATATGTGTGGACGAGCTCACAGCCCACCTGGTGTTAAGTGGTTACTGGAGCCAATAGACCTCTACAACGTAAATGCGCCACCCACCTTGAGATATAAGCTCTAAAGTCTCAGTATAGTTACAACGGCTGGCCCGCCCTTCAAACCCAATTTTGCTTTAGGCAATTGCGCATACGTACAATTATTATTATTTCGATATTAAACTTCTTTTGATTGCTTAGTCACTGGGGCGTGTAGAGTTCATCCATCCATCCAGAAAGTCTTTATGCTATCTTCGTTCACCCATCAGCTAAATAAAAGCTGCCGCTCGATAATTGGTGTCTTCCTCCTTGCGTCATTCTCCTCATTACTCATGAGGGTCGTTACTTCCACGCTGCATCAGTCTTTTTTGTACGATTGCTCTCCATCCGTTGCGATCCTTGGCCTCGTGGAAAGCATCGAGGAATTTAATGTCTAAACAAGACCGAATTTGGTCCGATCATATCGTGGGACTGCGCCCTCTGGGACGTTTGCCCTCTATCTTGCTCTTGAAATACTAATTGTGTAACGATTGATAATAAAGAGATAAATGTATTATTTTTCATGAATAATTACTAAGTCGACATATTATGTAACTCAATAGATGCACACAAATATGCACTTTTGAGATATAGCTTAGTAATGGTTCAATAAAAAAAATATGTGTTTTTATTTAACTCATTATTTTTCCTGCAACACACTAGCAGGATTTGATCGGAATCATTACCTTCAAATAAAAATATTACTACAATACTTGACAGTACAATTATTTACTATATACAATTAACACATAACATACAAATACAATTAACTTCACGTCATATAAGAATTCCAAATTCAAATTTATTATTAAGATTTCTCTTAACTAAAACTCGTTTTTAAATGTCCCATTAAGACTTGCAACTAAATGATTTTGCATAACAGCTTCAAAAATTTTCCCAACGCTATCAGAATCTGCTTTATTTTCCAGCTCAACTGCATCCATAACTCTTACTATAACATATCTCGGGGAATGCACCGGAAGCAGACACAGGAACAAATACATCTTCATTATGAACAGTTTCAACCTTGCCTCTGATTTTACATGCTACGGTAGATTTTCATTTTATTGCTTCGAAATGTTAGTAAAACTAAACAGATATTAATTTTGTTCAGTGATACGTCATACGAACTATTCTGAAAGTGGAAGCTATGTTGGCCGTTATAGAATTAGCCGCAGGAGGTTGGGCCAACATATTCAACTTCTTATATATACATAATATGTTATCGTATTATCAGATAAATAACTGTAAATTATCAATACATTAATTAGTCTGACTACAACCCCAATTTTGTTTTAATTGTGAAATTTAGCTACTGTACTCATCGCAACTTTTTGAGCAAAATTATTGTAAAACTTTTGATGGAATTTTTCTATTGCAGCTTTAGCCTACGGTATTCTTCGTCTGGAATTTAACATCGCCATTCCGTGGCTTTCCATTACGTACCGTCCATGGCGACTGCTTGCTTTGGTCATGGCGTTGATGCTGGCGGTAGGGGCTGTGATGATGCTGTGCCTTCACGAGAGCCCAAAGTTTTTGGCCAACCGAGGACATGTAGACAAAGCATTATCTGTGTTGAAGAGTTCTTACGGTCTCAAAGGAAATGACGCAGATTATGTTGTGAGTTCGCTTTTTATTTGTTTATTACGTAACCGGGTGAATGACCTAACGAATCACCTAGTGTTAAGAGTAAATACCCTCACTTTTGAGACTTCAGGTCTACTTCTGGTAAATATATTATAGTTTTTCTTAATCTGGAAAACAGTATAAATTAAATATTTATCTTACTAGGAAAATTGGTACCTACCCGCAAGAATCACATCTCTTATAATAAATACACCGGACTTCTTGTGGCCTAAAGAATCACGACGACTTATTAAGCTTGCTTTTTGTACGGACTCGTCGCATACTTTACGTGTACACATTTTACGCGAAACATATTTTCATTATACACTAGCTGACCCGGCAGACTTCGTAGTGCCTCAATCGATAAATAAAAGACCTAAGATTTTGTGTAAAATAAACTTACAACAAACAAAAGGAATCCGTCCGACACATCAAAAGGAAAATAAATTTGTTATTTTTATTCAATTCCGAGAATTTTCATATTTATATAACTTTTAAACCTTCTCTGGACTTCCCCAAAAAGATCAAGACCAAAATTAGCCAAATCGGTCCAGCCGTTCTCGAGTTTTAGCGAGACTAACAAACAGCAATTCATTTATATATATATATATATATATATTACATATTTAAAAACAAAGGAATTATATAATACATTTTTTTAAATACACCCCACGAAAATGAATACCCACCAATTACGACGTTTACGATACAAGCGATGAATTAAAAGTAATTCTGATTGTAGTCGAATATTTTAAAACTTGAGTGTAACTAATAACAAGTGACTTGAATTCAGAAACTTAGGTTGACACTCCACGAAGTTTCATACTTAATGAACCAGAATTACGTGTCGAACTATTTCGTTTCCACTTAAGAAATGATTTTGAAACGAGGCTATAATTTCAAGGTACAATTTACAGTTTTAGCTCTGACAACTATGAATAATTCGTTGTTTAAAATAACCGTATTCTATTGCAGATGTATGGGTAATTTAATTTTTAATGTTTATGGGCTTTATTGGGGACTTTTTGGCGGGAGCGCGAGGAGTGAAGTTGTGTGATTTGTTTTATTTTGTCTATTTAGTGTTTCTTCAGGTTTAAATGTGTAATAACGGTGGTTTATTAACTGTTTAATATCTGTAAAAGTGCACAAATGTGGGAAAATGAAACAAAACCGCTGGACGTAACTTCTCAGGATCCTCCAAAAAGTCCACTGAAAAAATTTTAGTAAATGACCACCATTTTGCTGAGATTATACTTCATCCCATATAATTTCATCTCATGTCATTTCATTTCGTTTTCATTTCACTTCATGCTGTTTCATAATAATCAACTTCATTTCATTTCATAATAATCAACTTCATTTCATTTCATAATAATCAACTTCATTTCATTTCATAATATAATTTTCATCTAAAAAAGTTACGTATCATTAAAATAAAAATAAGACTTGACCTAAAGGTCTTAGTTACCAGGTCTTAAAATCCCTTAAAAAAAAGGGCTTTATTTATTAATTAATGCCGGGTAGACTTCGATTTAGTACGCGCTTATTTGTAAAAAAAATTGTTCAGTTTCGATTTCTTTTTTTTTTGTCGCCAAGCATACGGCCCACCTGTTGGTGGTGGTTGGCGTCGCCCATGGACTTCAGCAATGCCAGAGGCAGAGCCAAGCCGCTGCCAACCGACATCTTGCTGTTACAAAACTAAGTAGGGAGTAAGAGTAGCTATTCCTTTTTTGAACCACCTGTTTCGCGCCATAATAGCTTGGATTTGGAATATGCGCCATACAATGTATACGTAATTTATTTTAACGGTACATACGTTTATTTTAGCTAAGATCTTTGATGACAATCGACCACGTAGCCCTGAGTTTAAAGCCAACCTTCTGGAGTTCGGTTGTAGCACAGACGATACCGATATTCAAGCCTCCTTTAGTTTTGAAGACACTTCAACTTTTCTTCTTAATGTCAGTCTGCTTAAGCACGTGAGTACCTATCTATATCTATATCTATATCTATACTAATATTATAAAGAGGAAAGATTTGTTTGTTTGTTTGTTTCGAATAGGCTCCGAAACTACTGGACCGATTTGAAAAATTCTTTTTCCATTAGAAGCCGACATTGTCCCTGATGAACATAGGCTATTTTTTTTAATTTTTTTTTATTTATTTTTTTGGTTTCATGTGTGTTTTAATGTTTCCGAAGCGAAGCGAGGGCGGGTCGCTAGTTACTTTTAAAGTTGAGAGGTAAATTATTGTTATTATTTTTATAGTAGAGACGTATGTATACTGCCATCCATTTCGAGAAATAAGGTCTAAATCTCAATTGCATAGCAGTTCTATCCTTCAAGTTGTAATTCATGACTGGTTCTCGGCAGAAATAGACAGGGCGATAGTGACTAGTGCGCGCTTACAAACCCCGGTGTATTCTAAAATATTCCGTATTATACATGAATTTGAGGATTTACGCAAATCACGGCAAAATGGGAACGATATTTCTCTAGTTTCTTACGAGTGGCAGCCGTGTAATTAATGCAAATTTTACCCTTTATTCCCGTGTCTACAAATTTATTTTACCAATTTTCCACGCTTGCTGATATTGATTACCGTATCGATACCTATTGTTGTTTCGATCACGGAGTCCAGGTACAGTTCACGAGCGAAGTCAATCGTTTTGTAGGATATTGTATGAATGCCGATAGAGTTCCAATTTTGTATGATATAGCATTTTCTTCGTCTTTTGAGAGTCTTTTTTTTTATATACAGAAGAAAATCACTGGATTCCCACCCGCGCGGTGAGTATGTGGGAGTTGAACTTCACTAAAAACTCCTGCCGCTCAGAGCCGACGCCCTACCCCGAAACGGGGCGAAGCCCAGTCGGGGCCACTGAGACGGTGACACAGAGTTGACGTAGAGCATATTACATCCATCCCGCCGTCTTCCAGACGCCGGACCGGCGGCTACCTGAGACACAACCACAGGTTCCCTGGGTGGACTGGTCGAGAGCCCGCCTTGATGGTGCCGTACTCCACCTTCCCCCGGAGCGGCCGGAGAACGTGGTCTACCATCACTTGGCTTTCTATTACGGGCGAGCGTGCAAAGCACGCAGGCCCACATTTGGGTCTCTCTCCATATAAAGCGTGTAGAACCCGAAGCTAGTAAATCAAATCAAATCAAATCAAATCAAATCAAAAAAGTTTTATTCAACATAAATGAAAGTACATACTTGTTGAACGTCAAAAGAACTATCGCCAATTCACAAGAATTAGCCTCCGTCCTGAGAAGAATTGGCAAGAAACTCTGCGGGCATGTCTTTTTTTTATATATTTTTTAAATATTAGTTTTTTTTTAAATATTCATTTTTACAATAAGTAATTATAACATAACAATTATTACAATATTGATATGCCCGGAGCGAGCAACTCATTCCCACTTTGTGCAATCTTCTAGATAATCATTGACTTTATAGTAAGCTTTATCGCACAGATGTTCTTTAATAGTTTTCTTAAACCTATGTATATGTAGGTTCTGAACATCTTGTGGGATTTTGTTGTACAGGCGCACAGACAAACACCCGAATGAATTTTGTATCTTATGTAACCTACTCATCGGCACAACAAGCTTGTGTTTGTTCCTAGTATTTCTATTATGTATGTCCGACATTTTAGGAAACTCCTCAATATGTTTACGAACATACATCAAATTTTCAAAGATATACTGGGATGGCATAGTGAGAACTTTAATTTCTTTAAATTTTTCCCTCAGGGATTCCCTTGAGTGCATGTTATAAATAGCACGTATAGCTCTTTTCTGCAGAATAAATATCATTTCTACATCGGCCGCATTGCCCCATAGCAAAATGCCATAGGACATGACACTGTGGAAGTAACTAAAGTAAACTAAACGAGCCGTGTCCGCATTTGTTAACATTCTAATTTTTTTTACTGCGTATGCTGCAGAGCTGAGCTTACTCGCCAATTTATGAATAGGAGGTCCCCACTGCAGTTTGGAGTCCACTGTTATACCAAGAAATACGGTTGACTCAACAAGCTCCAATGATTCCTCAGAAACAATTACATTACAATCTACTTGTCTCACATTTAAAGATGATTTAATACATTTTAAAGTAAATTTAATACATTTCGTTTTCTTACTATTCAATAATAGGTTATTGATACAGAACCAATGAACCACACACGAAATCGCATCATTCACTTCGTCATAGACTTATAATTGTCGTTTAATTTTAAATAATAAAGATGTATCATCTGCGAATAATACGACCTCGTGTCGGGACTCAATAAAACTAGGCAAATCGTTTATATATATTAGAAATAAAAAAGGACCCGAAATGGAACCCTGAGGTACACCCATTTTCAACAAGGTGCCTGAAGATCTATTTCCTTTCACATGTACTGTTTGTATCCTTCCTGATAAATAGGAAGTAATAAGTTCCGATGCACCATCCCTAATACCATAGTGATGTAGTTTCCTCACCAATGTTTCATGTTCAACACAGTCAAATGCTTTTGATAAGTCACAGAAAATTCCAAGACAATCATGCGATTCCTCCCAAGATTGAAAGATATTTTTGATTAGATAAGCACCTGCATCAGTTGTAGAGCGACCCCTTGTAAACCCGAATTGTTTATTATGAAGCAGGTTATTTGAATTAAAATGTTCTAAAAGTTGAGAGGCCGGGGTCCCATCCCCGGTCCCGACCCCCTGCTTGACGTTGGCGGATTTTCGCGTTGTAAGGAGAGCTTTGCGTCACTTGGCCCCGCCGCCTTCTTCTGCGAGATGGTCCACTCACAGAAGTTGAGCACGACCTTCCAAGACTCGTCGCCGCCAAGCATCGCCAGGCAGCTACAAGTCCACTCCTATCTTTACGACCAGGACACGGCGCTGCACCTCCCAAGCGGGGCAGACAGCGAGCGTATGCTCCGCCGTATCCAGGTCGTGTCCACAATGGTGATACCTCATCGTCGGCTCAGCTCATATCCGGTGCAGGTACTTCCCGAAGCATTCATGTTCGGTCAGCACCTGCACCAGACGAAAGACGTTATCCGCCACGATTCACCGAGTCATCAAAGACCGGGTAAACCGCCTCGACAATCCGTAGACCCCAAGTGGGGCTAGTCTCGACTTTTAAAAGTCTTAGGCGTAATTAAAACTATTTTTACGGTTTATCCTACTTTATAGGTGTGTTCCACTTTAAAGTGAAAGTAGGTTTAATTATTGTTATACGACGCTTAATGCTGCTACCCTTAAAATTTTAATTTAAAATCCACAAATAAGACAAGAAAATTTAAACAAAAAGTAAAATATTTTTACCTTTACCATTTTCTTCGCCAATTCCTTGAAAGATATTATGGTAAAATAGCATCGTAACTCGTATATGTAAATGTTTCTCCGAACAAGAATTTTCGTAATGGAGTAAAATCTTATTCTAGACTTTATTATGTTAGCTCTTCGAATATGAATGATAAATGTTGTAAGGAAAGTTTATTATTATATAAAGTCTGATATTTCTCGACTCATATATTAGGCAAAAAGTTACAGAAATGTTTCTAGCGGTCAGGTATGTATGAGACAAATTGTAGTCTCAATTACATAGCTATGCCCAACAGCTGTCTTACTGCCGTATTACGGCATTAAAACAAGAATTAGGGTTGAGAAATACATATTTGGATAGGATGAGACTAGGAAAATCATCGCGACTACTGCTACCACCGGTCTTTTGCAGCGACGGAGTCGTTCAGGCGAAAACTACAACCTCCCGTTCATAACCGCAGACCGCACAAGATTTCGACAGATGCTTCTGCTAAAAAAAGCGTAGGGTGCATGGTATCAGTGGTTATAAATATTTTATGAACAGATATGAGTAGAAGGGCTATTTTGCTAATATCCTGAAAAGCACCCCACGCTTTTTTACAATAAAATCTTTTTTTTTTACACTGTTTTTGGAACGAAGTTCCTTATGGGACGATGCGGAGGGGTACCCTTACCGGGAAAAAACGTCCGTAACGTAAGATTTTTATTAGTAATGCACACAGTGTACGACTTAACTTTGTAATAACGAAAAAAAAAAAAATTTTTTTTTATCATTCATTGACCACGATCTCAGAGCTTTCCTTTGCGCAATACACTAACTCTTCTGCAAACAACTGTGAATGAAGTGTACCACAATAAGTTCGCACGTTACCGAATGACCGTGGGTTGTTGCGAAACCACCAGTTTTATTTTCTTTATACCTCGAATAGAACTTTAAATTAATATTTTTATAATAAAGAACTTCGTTCCTATCCGGTGTCCGACGACACAACACATCTTTTAATTAAAATTTATTAAAATTTATTTTCAATTTTTTAGTTGGATTTTCTATAAAAGCGTATTTTGTTAGTTTTTTTAAACTATTATTTATTCATATTAAGTTTCTTCAAATTGTCTGTTTTAGCAACAACGTTTTCTTCATGTGGTTTCCAACGATGGTGAATTCATTCTACTCATCAATGTCCGACACTCAATCGGGCTTCTGCGAGAAAATTATATCAAACCTTACGAATGAGATATCTGAAGACGTAAGTATTGTTACTTTGAAATTTTCGACATGTCTAATATGTTAATTTCTTTCTACTTTGCTAACGGTACATACTTTAAAGTGGCCCGTGATGAGGAAAATTGTATTAGAAATATCCTAAAGGGTAAATCGAAGTAATAAAATGACAGTGCGTTACGCTAAGTAGCGGTTTGCCTGTGCAACTGGCATTGACGTTGTACACAGGCGTCGGTGGTCACTTATTCTCAGATGAGTCATTCACACGCTTTTCTTTCCTTTGGCTTCAGCTTAGCATCAGTTGATTTCGGTTACCGTTAAAGTGGTTCCAACTTTAAAATAACGTAATGTATTTTTGGGGTAACGACAATGGTAGACGGACAGTCCAAATGTTCGGAACTTGCATATATAAGCATATAAGCCTATAATCATGTAAGCATGTAAGCATGTATGTAAGCTTATATTGAAAATGTCGTTAACGAGATTCAGGCATCTGTGAAATATCTTGTGTTCTGTGACAGCCGCCCACTACATATTTTATGTAAAAAATATCGAGAAACTATACTAAGAATTTAAGACTGAAGACTTTTACTGGTGGTAGGACCTCTTGTGAATCCGCAAGGGTAGGTACCACCACCCCGCCTATTTCTGCCGTGAATCAGTAATGCGTTTCGGTTTGAAGGGTGGGCCAGACGTTGTAACTATACTGAGACCTTAGAACTTATATATCAAGCTAGGTGGCGGCATTTACGTTGTAGGTGTCTATGGCCTCCGGTAACCACTTAACATCAGGCTGTGAGCTCATCCACCCAACTAAGCAATAAAAACAAAAAATTTAAATATCAGAAATGTTTCAGATGTCGTAATAACAAAAGCATTGTAGCATACATACCTATTATAATAATAATATGTAAGTAAAAAATGAAATGTCTTAATGTATATTAAGCATATTTCTAATTCGCTGTCTGCCCCGCTTGGGAGGTGCAGCGCCGTGTCCTGGTCGCAAAGATAGGACCGGACTTGTCGCTGCCTGGCATCGTGGCGTCAATGCTTGGCGGTGACGAGTCCTGGAAGGCTATGCTCGACTTCTGCGAGTGCACCATCTCGCAGAAGGAGGTGCTGGGGCGAGTGAGGCAAAGCTCTCCTCACTACGCAGAAATCCGCCGCCGCCGCCGAGCAGGGGGTCGGGACCGGGGTCTCGTCCGTAACCCGGCCCCCTAAGAGCTTCGGGCTCCACCCGTTTTGTGCGGGAAGGAGCCTAGGCGTGGGGAGGCGTGGTAAGCTGCGTTCCCCCGACCGCTCCGGGGGAAGGTGTAGCGCGGCGCCATCAATGCGGGCTCTTGGCCCGTCGACCGAGGGAACCGGCGGTCGTGTCGCTGGCGGCCGCCGGTCCGGCGTCTGGGGGACGGCGGATGGATGTAATATGCTCTGCGTAAACCCTGTCCCGCCGTCTCAATAGCTCCGACTGGGTTCCCACCCGGTTCGGGGTAGGGCGCCGGCTATGAGCGGCAGGAGTTTTTAGTGAGGTTCAACTCCCACATACGGGGATCCGGCGATTTCTAACTGTGGAAAAAAAAAAGAAGGATATTTCTAATAGTATCTTTAGGGAGGGCCCCGATCACAACAGAACTGTCCGACGACATAACTCACTAGAGACTCGAGTTTGGATTTCGAAACAAGAAAAGAAAACTAATAACAATTCACTGAAAAAGTATAGGCTCTTCTAAATGTAAAGACTAGTTGACTCGAATAAGTCTAACGACTTTCGATTGTATAAATGTTCGCGAACAAACCGAAGTTCGGCGATTCAAACCATTAATTTTCCGTGCGACCGGAAAAGTTAGACTCCGGGCACACTATTAACGGCAACTAGAGCATTTGGAGCTAGCGACTTACGAGCGAACCTGTTCTTAAAGACCTAAGCTTCGTCTATATGCTTTACGACGAAATTTACGCCTAAGACACTTTAAGCTCCAATACTTAAGTTACTATATTATACTAGCCGTACTCGACCGCTTCGCTGGTCATTTAAAATTAACATTATTATTTATTGTCATTATTATCAGGGAGTCGAACACTCATATAAATATTAGCCTATCCATTAAGTACATGTATTTTCTACATGGATACCAAGTTTCAAGTCAATCGGATGCACGGTTCATCGTAAAAACCGCTGTAAAAAATATCTATATATTAATACGTGAACCAAAAACTTTGTATCCCTTTTTACGAAAATTGCGCGGACGAAGGTGTATGAAGTTTTCCACACTTAAAGAGAATATAGAGAAGAAGTGCACAATGCTAATATTTTTTTAAAATAATGCATAAAAGATACATTAAATCAGTAAAGAAAGCATTACACACACTACATACCATGTATTTGACGCACACACGCATGCATACTATTTATTGTCAAACTTTTGTTCTTGACGTCTGTTGTCAAATTTAGAATAGATTAAATATTGTTTGTCTTTATTAATATTTTTTTGTAGTGTACTCTTGACGAAATTTGTGATTATAGAAGTATAAAATACAATCATAATAATGTACAAACTTACAATTCCAATTATAGTCGAATTTCGACTACTGCGGGACCTCTAGTTTAGATTTGACAGACTGTCGCCCAACCCTCCTTGTTTGTTAAACTCAAATAAGACGAATGCCGTTTTTTTTTTCGGGCCGGAGCCGAACCTCCTACGAGGTCCCCGCGCCTAAGGGGGCCCGCGGGGTATGTGTATGTGGGACTCGACGATCTGGTGATGTTGGGAGCAGACCGCGGATCCAAGGAGCTTTAAGGCCCTACCGCACTAAACGACTCCTCTGCACCTCCCCTCAGGTCGACCCAGACGAATGTTATACGCCAACATCCAACAGAATTTGTCAAGCATTTTCGTGTTCGCCTGATTGGTACCAAAAAAAATCTGATATAACATTGCCATAACTAAGACTAAATAATGGTACAAACATTGGCCAAGCTGTCGCACGTCTGCTATCGGCGAGCTAAGTGCAAATTTGCTATCCATATTGCTATTTGTTATGAGGATCTACCAAAATCAATTTAATACAATACGAGAAGGCTAATTAAAAATTCGTCTAAAGCTATCAATTAAAGGAATTATCAATCAAAGGAATCAATCCTTTTTTTTTTTAAATTAGTTATATGGGTGGACGAGCTCACATCCCACCTGGTGTTAAGTGGTTACTGGAGCCCATAGACATCTACAATCTGCGCCATCCACCTTGAGATATAAGTTCTAAGGTCTCACTATAGTTACAACGGCTGTCCCGCCCTTCAAACCGAAACGCATTACTGCTTTACGGCAGAAATATGCGGGGTGGTGGTACCTACCCGTGCGGACTCACAAGAGGTCCTACCACCAGTAAATTAAATTTTCTCTTGGAAAATCTTATGTTTTATTTCTTCTTTCCAGGTAATCTGTGATGATACAGTGGCAAACAACACCATCTATTCGGGGATGGCTTTCAGCGTTTTCTTTACTTTAGTCAATTTCTTGACCTCGAGACTGGCTAAATGGAGGAAAATTGTCTTGCTCTCGACACTTACAATATCAGGGATAAGTGCAGTATTAGTTGATATCATACACCAGCCTATAGTGAGCATGATGCTCTTTATATTTATTCAGCTCTCTGGTATACTGACTGGAAACGTAGCTTCTTATTTCGTTGATTTGTATCCGACTTCTTATAGGTGAGTTTAGATTTGCTAGTGATGTGTAGTTTTTTTTATGATGTTGACATTTATTTCCTTTTCATTACTGCACCGTATTTTTCAAACGTGCCATGAAAATGAATTGTCCCCGACTTTAGAAATATCCTCTATACTTCTAGATTTGATTCACAGTATGGCGTATAATTCGTATAATTGAGTCGTCTATTATCAAAGCCGGCAATCTGACTTTTGGACATTGATTGGTAAATCAGAAAAACGAATTATTGACTTTGTATTCCATTGGCAGTCATAAAACTCTTCGGAACGACATCTTAGATAAATAACAGGGTAACTATTAACCTTTATTTAATGCAGGTTTTGAACCGTATTCTTTGAAGGAGACGATTATATTCAAATCAATCTGAATTGACATATCAATAAAAAAAAATTGTCCAAATGCACAAATTGCCACCTTTGATAATAGACGACTCAATTATAAATAATCAATAAACAAAATCTATTATTACTTACTTATTGATTATTACTACAAATCGTTATTACTTATTCAAAGTATATTATTGGGATAATATATCCACAATACTCTAATCTTAGGAACATCACTTTAGAACGTTCGTGCGTTTCTCGTGTGTGTGTTCCACGGAGCTTTTCCAGATAACTTTTTCCCGATTTTGGAAAAACTCCCCTTCCTTGGTGTTTCCCGAGCGCTATGACATGTCCTTTTTCAAACGAGGCTTGTAGAGAGTACTTAATGGTAGCCAGCGGCTTGGCTCTGCCCCTGACATTGCTGACGTCCATGGGCGACGGTAACCCCTGACTATCAGGTGGGCTGTATGCTCGTCTGTCTACAAGAATAATAAAAGAAATCGGAGTTATAAAAATGACTGTATTTTTTTTTTTAAATATAGGTACTAATCTTTTTTTCTCATAGTTTTTTGTGAGTTGATAATTTAACTAAAACAACTTCTACGGTACCTATGATCACGCGTTTTTAATATCATAATATTATTTCCAAAGCTTCGTATAATTTACATTACATTTTAGAATAATAAAACTTAACTATGATATAATCACTGACCTAAGACCTGGTAAGCCGTAAGCTCGCAATGTCTTTATAAAGATTATACTAGAAAGCGCAGAGAGCACTAAACTATTTTTCCATTCTTCTTCTCAGTCGTTCACTCCTGGCGGAGTGGTCGTGGTTACGTAAGTCTTAATATTTGGTTGCGGCTTTTGAGAGGCTTCTCCATCTCTCTCTATTTGTGGCGGTACGTGTACACTCAGTAAGGGAACACTTCGTAGAAAACTTAACCAAGTCTGTCCACCTTGTGGGTGATCGGCCGCGAGAGCGTTGACCGTCTANCATTTCCATAACTTTCATGGGAAAATAGTAGCAGTGGTTTCCCGTTGCCTTCTGCTCCAGCACTTTTAGAGATTATTTGGACCTCAAGGCTGCTGTAGCCTCTACTCTAGGTAGGTATGTAGTTATACCGCTACTTGCTCGGTCGCCAGAGCCTCGTTGGTTATCTAGCAGGAAGTACCACGGAAGCCAATTGTCTTCCGCCGCCCTCCAGCGCGTGCAGGTGAGGTTGACATTTGGGATGGCAGAGATGTTGATTACCTTCCCCTTACTCCCCGCGTAGCCGGCTCCATCGAATTATAAGACGTTGTCACATCAAAAAAAAACGCGCAAAAATGCTGTTTAAAAGGCGATCTATTATCTATGGTTGAAACTAGGTATAGGCCAGTTTTGCATCAAAATTTATTACGTTTTAAATACATGAGCACGAATATGAAAAATTGTTGGTTAAGCCACTTTTCTACTGACGGTCTCATTTATCAACAGGGGTCTAGGTACAAGTCTTGGCTTGATGTGTGCAAGGATGACGTGCCTAGCCGGGGTCAACATTGTTGGAGGCACAATAGTTAGCCATTGCAGCATGACGTTCTTTGGATGGGCCGTTTTCGTACTCTGTAAGCTTGTTCATATAAAATTTATTAGATTATACACTTATTAACACGCTTTCTACTAGCTCGGTATATACATGTGGGATCCTATATTCGATTTGGGCCAATGAAACAGTTGATTGTTTCACTCGATTTTAATTCCGTCTTTCTTATTACGAGGAAATAAAATATACAAGTGTTTCGCCTTCGGAGTTACGCTGTCTACCGTTGCTTCTGGTAAATAACCTCATTCCTCCTCTCGCATAAAATAAAACTATGTCTCCAACATTCATTCGCCGTCTCTCTTACTCTCTAACGCGACATCCTCTGCCTCTCTCACTCATTCATGCTCCTTATCTGTCATTTATTTAAACATGTTTTTTTTGCAAAAGAATGAATAAACGTCATCGGACTTAAGATGTCCGATTAATTTGAAAATCTGAGCAAGACATCAAGGACCGATGCCAATACAATAATTTTATAACTTCGTTTTACTATCAACTGGTTGCAAAAAAAAATAAAGTAAATTCTTAGTTCAGTTTGCTAATTAAGTGGTTTTTTTTAAGCCGCATAATAAATTATAATTGTTATGGACGATTATGATTGCCGGGTAAAGTCGCAGCCCAATTCAGATAAGTAAAATCTCTGTATTGGATTAGTAATAGTACATTCGGACGGGTTCCAGATTCCTTCGTGGCGAAAATGTATTGTAGCTTTTTTTACCTCCTACCTATGATGATAGCCTTGAGAGGCTATTTCAGCTTCACCCTAACGTGTCTAGGTGAGCTCAGGGGGCTCAAACCGGAGTGTTAACACTGACCCTAGCAAGAGTAGTGCTTCGCAGAATCTACCACCGGATTGGGAACGCGACCCACTGAGAAGATCCAGCGAGAAACTCAGTGGGCTAGAGAAACTCCGTGGGCTAGAGAAACTTAGTGGGCTACTGTTGTAGTGCGCAGCGTGTACAGACCGTACTTTGCCCGTCTGTCTCAGTTACAAGAGCAAATTTGATTATTACGGGTTCTTGTTTCGTATTCCCGTGCTTCTTCTTTAAATAAACACTTTTGTTTTTGCAGGTGGTATAGCGGTCGCTTGGTTTCTGCCGTCCGACAAAAAATGAATCGAATTAATTAATGGAGTCTAGTTTCTCGTAATGGGTACCTATATACATAGTAAATCATACGTGAAGCAAAAACTTTGTAGCCTTTTTTACGAAAATTGTGCAGACGGAGAAGTATGAAATTTCCCACACTTATAAAGAACATAGAGAAAGAGTGCAGGATGCCAATATATCTTTAAAATTATTCATTAATTATGAATCATTCATTAATTATTCATTAAAATTATAATTTGCGTAATTACTGGTGGTAGGACCTCTTGTGAGTCCGCACGGGTAGGTACCACCGCCCTGCCTGTTTCTGCCGTGAAGCAGTAACGCGTTTCGGTTTGAAGGGTGGGGCAGCCGTTGTAACTATACTGAGACCTTAGAACTTATATCTCAAGGTGGGTGGCGCATTTACGTTGTGGATGTCTATGGGCTCCAGTAACCACTTAACACCAGGTGGGCTGTGAGCTCGTCCATCCATCTAAGCAATAAAAGCAATAAAAAACAAAAACAAAAAATAAAATCATACAAATACATTAAATCAATAAATAAAACATTGCACACACTACCGTGTATTCGACATACACACACATAATATATATTATACTCTTTTGTTTATTGCTAAGATCTGTGGTCTAATCGAGAATAGATTAATATTTTTGGTCTTCAATAATAATTGTCTATAGTGTAGCCCTGGCAAAATATGTGTATATAGAAGTAAAGTTTTTGACAATGGAACCTTATTAATGTTCAAACCTATAATCTAAATTAATAATTATAATCGATTTTTGACTTCTGTGGACCCGCTAGTTAAAATAAATGCGTATTGGTTAAAAACATAAAATGCAATAAAGCTTCAAATGTTTTACTGTTCCCTAAATGTCATTACGAATTTGTTTGTTCATGATTTATTATTAAGTTGGAAAAACTTAAGTACCCCCTTTTGATTTCAAACAAAATGGTTTTCAGTCTACGCATGGTATTTATTTATAATATATTTATTACCTATAAAATTTCATCTTTTATTATTTCTGTTTATTAACTATCCACTATTAAATACTCACAGTACAATCTATTTTAATCTACTATTAATCAAAATGTGAGCTACTATAAAAAGCGGAAATACAGAAGTAGAAAATCGGAACATTGATTTTAGTGCCATCTATGTTCGGCTGCAAGAACTACAAAGCGGCATTGGAATACCCAGTTTCACTTTTAATTAGTTTTTAAGTTGGGCGACAGATGGCAGGACCATCTATTAAAAAAATTATTTTGAAAATGTAACCCGACAAAAACAGATGGTGCTGTTTTAAAATCTATCTACTCGTACATTCAAACATAGGTTTTTCTTTGCTCTTCGCAAATCGTGAAAACTAGTTTTTACGATTTAATATCGCATTGTTGCTGTCATAATATTACATCCGACGTTAATCCGAATTATTTACAATTTTTGTGGTCACGGACAACTAAAGTGTTCCAGAGAATTACCATAAAAGTAGTTTTAAATTCATACATATTATGAGAACCTACACTAGAAATTTTCAAGAGGTAAATTGGTTTGTTTCTTTCTATTGTGAATTCTGACAATCGGTGAAGAGATTCTATAATAATTGATAATATTTTATTTAAAAAAAAAGATGTGTGGTGTCGTGGGACACCGTATAGGAACGAAGGTCCTTATTATTTAAAAAAATTATTTTAAGTTCTATTCGAGGTATAAAGAAAATAAAACTGGAGGTTTCACAACAACCTACGGTCATTCGGTAACGTGCGAACTTATTGTGGTACACTTCATTCACGGTTGCTTGCATAAGAGTTAGTGTATTGCACAAACGAATTTTTTGTACGATATTACAAAATTAAGTCGTACACTGTGTGCATTACTAATAAAAATCTTACGTTACGGACGTTTTTTCTCGGTTAGGGTACCCCTACGCATCGTCCCATAAGGAACTTCGTTCCAAAAAAATGTTTTCATTTTGTCGACGACCAGAAAAAAACCTCTCATTTATAGCTAATTTTTCGCTGGCACTTTAACGGATTTACCAAAACTTTAGACGTTCTAGTATTTATTAAATAATCCAATTTTATAATGTTGTTTTCTTCATATCGAGTATCGGTGTTCGGTGAAAAACAAATGCTGGAGCGTATTTATGCTAATCGAATAAATCATTTTCTGCGTATCGATCCAAATTTATCTAAAATATTCCATTTATTTTATGATCATCAAATACATGAAAATACTATTTAGTTGTATTGGGAAAATTCATTACAATTCCTTTCAATAAGCTATTATTTGACATAGCAATATCCAGACTGGCCTAAAGAGGTTTCTTTGTTACAATAATTGAAAACTTATATCCAATATTGCGTTATTGAGACATTAGTATCACAAGTAATCAAACGAAAAACAAATACTGAATAGATAGATATATTTTAGAAAACTATTTTTTTTNTTTAGTTGTATTGGGAAAATTCATTACAATTCCTTTCAATAAGCTATTATTTGACATAGCAATATCCAGACTGGCCTAAAGAGGTTTCTTTGTTACAATAATTGAAAACTTATATCCAATATTGCGTTATTGAGACATTAGTATCACAAGTAATCAAACGAAAAACAAATACTGAATAGATAGATATATTTTAGAAAACTATTTTTTTTAAATACTCATTTTGGTTTTGACACTATAAAATACATGAAGTCTTATTAAGATTCTTTGAAACTATCCAACATTTAATAGTCGGAAATGATTTTTTCAATTGACCGTAACGTCGTGGCCTCAAGGATAGCAGATCCGGTGTTCGAATCCCGCAGGCGGGTACCAATTTTTCTAATGAAATACGTACCTACTCAACAAATGTTCACGATTGACTTCCACGGTGAAGGAATAACATCGTGTAATAAAAATCAAACCCGCATAATTATGATTTGCGTAATCACTGGTGGTAGGACCTCTTGGGAGTCCGCACGGGTAGGTACCACCACCCCGCCTATGTCCGCCGTGAAGCAGTAATGCGTTTCGGTTCGAAGGGCGGGGCAGCCGTTGTAACTATACTGAGACCTTAGAACTTATATCTCAAGGTGGGTGGCGCATTTACGTTGTAGATGTCTATGGGCTCCAGTAACCACTTATCATCAGGTGGGCTGTGAGCTCGTCCATACATTAAAAGCAATAAAAAATAAAAAAAAACTCCAAGTATGCTCGTATCGCTCGTATAATGTTGAAATCTCCTAAGCTTATTTTCCTATTCAAATAAAATTTGACACATACTGATTCATAGCCTCCACGATGAATAAATTACATCGTGTAATAAAAATCAAAACTCAACAAAAAATGGTAATGCTAAAAACTTGGTACACGTGTAAGAAGTGAAACTTCTTTTGGGTTATGTAGTATTATGGTTTTAATTAATTATAATTATATGTAGTATTGTGGTCTTAATTTTTCATCCTTAAATATATAACCGTCTTTTGTAATAGGAAATGCTCTGTATAAGAGAAACGACCAAGCTCGCTTTGACCTTTCCCTCTCTCCGCGGTCGAGAGGTTCGCGAGATGCTCTGTCTATTTTCTTGCTCTTGCTATTCCTAAATTGTATCTTTTATCTCTAGCCGTAATGAATATGTCGCGAGTTAAATTTTCCTCTCAACGGACCTAAAGAAGTTTCACTTCAAATATTTTTTTTCCTATTTGCTGTACAATTGTGACATAGACCTCAAATTTCAAAACGTGTAGCGACTATTCACGTTTCGATGTTTATGGGGTACCAGAAACTACATTGCAAGAGGTGGGCCATTACCTCCTTTACCTAATCTAGCCAATAAGAAAATAACCTATACATATTATGTAGCATATATTTGTCGTGACCCAAAACTTATCTGACTTGTTTTGTTATTTTCTTATTAAGTACCCTGGGATGCGTTCTTCGCAATTACCGTACTGAGTAAAGGTGAGAATCTACATAATCAACACGATTAAATCACTTTCGTATTATGCAAACGAAGGACCTGCATGCTTGGCTTTGTGGTAAATGGCAGTTTTATCTGTTTCCTGTATGACGAGTACATTGAGGTGTAGGGCTGCCTCAAATTTTGTGTTAACGAAATTCTATGAAGGCATTTAGCAATTTTTCTTTTTTTTTATTGTTCTTTAATGCATAGGTGGGTGGAAGAGCTCACAGCCCACCTGGTGTTAAGTGGTTACCGGAGCCCATAGACATCTACAACGTAAATATAGTTACAACGCCTGGCACACCCATCAAACCGAAACGCATTACTGCGATACATGCATTAAATAGGCACGGTGGTGGTACCTACCCACGCGGACTTACAAGAGGTCCTAGCACCAGCAATTATGCAAATTATGCGGGTTTGATTTTTATTACACAATAATATTCCTTCACCGTGGAAGTCAATCGTGAACATATTTTGTAAAGTACGTATTTCATTAGAAAAATTGGTACCCGCCTGCATGATACGAATGAACCGGACGTCTTATCCTTTAGGCCACGACGACAAACCATCTAGCTAAGCCGTTCCATCTGTGTTTCATTAGTTTTTCGTGTGCTGCATAGGAATGTGTGTGACGTCGTCTCGTTTCTAACTGGATAAAATTACAAATAAGTAAATAAAGAGAAGTCTGAAAATAGTGCCAATGAGAGAGAAAATCAAGAGTTTAAGGTGAGCATGGTAAGGGCATGTTAGTCGAAGAGAGAATGATCATGTGGTCAAAGTGAGCCTATGAAGATGAGCGGTAATGTAAGAAGAGGGCGTTTTAAAAAGACTTGGATGGACTGTGGGAAAGACAACAGGATGTGTGAGAGAAGAATGTGAGCGCAGAGATGACGTATGATAGGCCTGAATGGAAAAAGAGGACATGTTGAGCCGACTCCACTTAATATAGGATGGTTTATAGTTTATAGAACCAAATAGTGGAGGAACTGAAAATACCTGTCAGCGACGCACTCCACCAAGCTACAGAACGGGATTGATGGAGACAGCTGGTTGACGGAATCGGAGGGAGTCACGA